ATTGGCTTGGGGGGTTTGAGGCAGGTGTAGCACCCAGTATTACCAAACAATGTTGTAAAAAAATCATGGCATTACTGTCCCCGTCCCACCCCCCCACCCACACACACACCCCATAACTGGCTTAAGCCATTATTTCTTTTAAACTATCTCAATTTTATTTTATTATTTTTATTAGCTTTTACTATTTTATTGTTTATTAGCTGTCTAGGTTGAGCCTTTAGCATGCACTCACTTCATGTATTCAAGCTTCTTCTCTGCAACGAGTATTAGAGTTTTTTTAAGACAAAAACAGGTTCCATGCATGGGGTCCCTAGATTCAGGAGCTAGGGTGTTAACAACAACCACTAAATATTGTGATTTGTTTTCATCACAAAAATGGCAAAATATAGCAGCACTGAGCCACTGAAGCTACTTTTAAAATCAGTTTTGTTTTAAACTTGCTAGATGTCAAGATGCTCATGTCCCTTTACATAGAGGCCCATTCTTTCAGAAAGGAACCTTAGCTACATAGGACAGTCAATTTAATCTGTGACTTGGCTCCTACACTGAACTTTAATAAAAATGCTTTCATGCTCTGGTAACTAGAGCAGTGACCTTTAGTGGTTACCGGTTTTGGGAATTTTTACATGAAATATATAGAATAAGTTCAATTAACATATTTTAAAGCTATTTACCTCCCCTGTCAAATTCAAAAGTGTGGAAGAGAACCAGGAAAAGATATGGAATATTTAGTTCTATATAAAAGAGAAAAGGTGGAAAAATAAAGTGTTTCATTGTAGTAGTGTGTACAGGACCCCTACATCCTCAGATAGCTTCAAAAGACAAGAAGTAAATTCTGAAGAGGAGGACAGTTTTTTAAAAAGAATACTTGGTTACAGAGCACAAGCTTCCAATCTCAAACCTACGGCTGACATCAGCACCATTTATTCCCTTCCCCCCATACTTTTTCGTAAGTGCTTACTACCTTAATTAGTATCTTTTGCAAAGTATTAACACCTTCAATTTTAACAGATTTAGGACTTCTCAAACTTGCTGGATACAGTACTATTTAACAAAACAAATAAGCCAGCTATGCTGCAGGTAGCTACAAAGGACAGTATCAAAGGCCTGGTCTGCACTATGGGTTTAGGTTGAATTTTTTTAGCAGCGTTAAATCGAATTAACCCTGCACCCGTCCACACAACGAAGCCATTTACTTCGACATAAAGGGCTCTTAAAATCAATTTCTGTACTCCTCCCCGATGAGGGGAGTAGCGCCGAAATCGACATTGCTGTCCAGAGCAGTCACAATGGTGCACTGTGGGATAGCTCCCGGAGGCCAATACCATCGAATTACGGCCACACTAACCCTAATTCGAAATGGCAATCTGAACTCTGATGCACTGGCCACGTAGACAAGAAAAGCCCCGCGAACTTTTGAATTTCATTTTTTGTTTGCCCAGCACATGTGACCACACAGAGCTCATCAGCACAGGTAACCATGCAGTCCTGGAATCCAAAAAGAGCACCAGCATGGACTGTATGGGAGGTACTGGATCTGATCGCTATATGGGGAGAGGAGTCCGTACTAGCAGAACTATGTTCCAAAAGACGAAATGCCAGCTGCTCTGTGATTGCTTTGGCTACTTGCATCACAGTAGCCCCCACAGTAGATTTGCCCACTCCAAATTGATTCTTGACTGACCGGTACTGTCTGGCATTGCAAGCTTCCACAGGGCTATCGCCACTCACTTCTAAACTGTGAGGGCTGCTCTCATCTTAGTATTCTGGCGCTTCAGGGCAGGGGAAAGCAAGTCACAAAGTTCCACGAAAGTGCCCATACGCATGTGAAAGTTTTGCAGCCACTGGAAATCATCCCAGACCTGCAACACTTATGCGGTCCCACCAGTCTGTGCTTGTTTCCCGGGCCCAGAATCAGCATTCCACGGCTATAACCTGCCCTATTAACAACATGATCTCCAAAGCGCCGGGGCCCGCGGCTTGAGAGAATTCTGTGTCCGTGTCCATGTCCATGTCCTCATCACTCTTGTCACCGCGCTGCCATTGCCGCCTCCTCCTCGCCTGGTTTTTCAGGTCCTGGTTCAGCATAAACTGCATGATAATGCACGAGGTGTTTACAGTGTTCATGACTGCAGTCTTGAGCTGAACGGGCTCCATACTTGCAGTGGTATGGCGTCTGCACAGTTGACCCAGGAAAAAAGGTGCAAAACAGTTGTCTGCCGTTGCTTTCATGGAGGGAGGGGTGAGGCTGTACTCAGAACTACCAGCGACAATGTTTTTTGCCCCATCAGGCATTGGGTTCTCAAACCAGAATTCCAATGGGCAGGAGAGACTGCGGGAACTATGGGATAGCTACCCACAGTGCAGTGCTCCGGAAGTCGATGCTAGCCTCGGTACATGGACGCACACTGCCGAATAAATGTGCTTAGTGTAGCTGCATACACTCGACTTTATACAATCGGTTTCCAAAAATCAAATTCTGTAAATTAGGAGTAATCATGTTGTGTAGACATACCCAAATTAATATTGGATTGTCCTCCATCAGTAGGAGGCGGGGGAGGGGGCAGAAGAACTATATCTTCCAACACAGAGGTGGACTGTGTTACAAAAGGCCTTGCCAATCTGTAACTTAATTACTAAGTGTGATAACGTACCTTGCTTTACAACATCCAGGAAAGCAGGATTAAGAGGACAGTAATTCATGCACAGTTCAAGTTTTAGCAGTAACCCACCATGCTTGATAAAACATTTTAAAACTATAAGCTATCAATATTACTGAAGCTGAAAGCTTCGGAGTCAGATATCAGACCAATAAGACTTGGCCAACAGACCAACTCTTGTTTGAAGTGTCATGGTAGCTGTGCTAGTCCCATGATATGAGAAAAACAAAGTGCATGAGGTAATATCTTTCACCAACAGAAGTTGGTCCAATAAAAGAGACATGCTTTTGAGCTCTACAGAGGTCTTCTCATTTCTTTCACCATCAAATGTGTTCCAATAAGAGATACTGCCTTACCCACCTTGTCTCAGACTTCCATTCTGTCCTTTCCGTATTTTTGAGTAGAGGAATTAGTTGAGAAAACTGCATTCTGATACATTTCAGAGAGTGGTGAGACAGTTTAGCACTTGAAGTTACTAGCTACGTGCAAGTACTATACCAGTCTGTTCCTTTAAAATGGAAGTTGAGATAGGTGCTCCTAAACGTGAGCGTTGTTCACATGAGGATTTGGCTAATGGCAATTATACCAAATCATGGGGGACTTTGTTTTCAGAAATTTCGAAACTGTCATCCCTAATACTAAATGAGATTGGGAACATCCTGAATTGACATGAATGGAGTAGTGTGAACAGGAAACAAAATAAGAAGGTTCTCCAGGGATTAGAATCAATAGAGTAGCATTTTAGACATACAAATAAAACAAGGTGGGGCAGAAAAATCTGGAATTGAAGAGCAGGATTTAGGGTCAAGAAAGACATGAGGGGCAAAAAAACAAAACAAAAATCCATGACTAGAGATAGAAGAAGGGTCATCTACATATATACATTAGATAGGGACAGGAAGTAAGTAATTTATACATGCCACAGCAAGCAATATCATATCACTTTACATATTTAACCTGAACAAAATTCTAGATGCATCAGAGATAGGAAATGGAAGTGACTTGAAACTTTTAAGGCCAGAGCACAGGCAGTGAATATAGCTCCTTGCAATGCTTTATTCCTCCTACCCAACTACATCATTTGAACCTGCCTAAGTCACACAGCTCAAACAGAAAAGGAAATGGAAAGTAACACAGAAGAATGTCATATGATCCCCTAGAGCTGTGACATTCTAGATCAGGATACAGCACTGTATGGAAAACACTGAAGTTGCTAGTTTGAATCCTGCAGCAGACATGCACCCTGGCTGGAATAGCTTGAGACTCAGGTGCACTTGTTCCACAATAACCCATTGGAGAACACTTTCAAAGCCACCTCGTGACACTGCAGCGACGTCACCCACTTCCCCCCCCCCCACTCCAGCAATTAACAGATGGTTTCTAATAAAAAAAAAAAAATCACACCAAGATTTTACCCAACAGCTGGCAGCTCTGTGCACAACCACTACTCATGCCGATGTGCCCGCTGCAAGCAGCCTGCAATGTTCAGCAACCCACCCCAGGCTCTGGCCCAGGCTGCAGGCTCCATGTCCTCTGCTGCAAGGAGAAGAAGGGGTCACCCCAGCATAGGAACGATGGCGCCTCAGCTGTAAACGTGGCCGCCCGGTCCCGTAACCCCTTCTGCTCGCCCTACCCCCGACCCTCCTTCCAAGGAGGGGCGCAGGCTACATACTCCGCACATGCCCCCGTCCCACCAGGGACTGCACAGGGTCACCCCCCTCCCCACCACACATCCAGGGGAGTTGGGGGCTCCGAACCCCCGCCCTTACCCCAGGTAGGGGGTACGCCCCCACATACACGGAGAAGGGGTGCGGGAGGGGGGTCTGTACCCCACACCCCACCACATGTAGGGGTTACCCCACACCCCACACACACATGCGGCGGGAGGGGGATCTGCACCCCAGACCCGCACCCCAGACAGGGGGTACCCCTCACACATAGGGAGAGGGGTGGGGAAGGGGTGATCTGTACCCCCAGGCCCCCATCTCAGGTAGGGGTTACCACCCCCCACACGTATTCTCCAGTGGGAGCTTCGTATCCCCCGCAGGCCGAGCGGTACTGACCATGGCTGGGCGAAGCGGCTTGTCCGGCTGTGTCACTGCCTGGCCTCAGGGTCACCTCTAAGCACAGCTAAGGCAGCAGCAGTTCCACGGCCGGCGCTGAAGGTATTAAGCGGGAGAAGGAGGGGGCTGATCCCAGCGGGCCGCCCCTCGCCGCGCAGCCGCCTGGGTGCTGTAGTCTCTGTCCACCCTGCTCTCCGCGCGTTCCATTCAGTCTCAGTCTCGGGAGTACTACAACTCCCAGCATGCGCCGGGCCAGCCTCGCTGCCGCTTAGTGAGCTCGTCGCGCTGACAGTAGCTCGTGTCCAATCTCTTTCCACCTCCCCACCAACCGCTGAGGCGCGCCCGCAGTAACTATTGGGCACATTCACAGCAGGGCCAACGAGGAACAGCTTCCCCACTCTCCGCCAGGGGGCGCTACAAGCTCAAGCTTTTGCGCATGCGCTACAGAAGACACGTGGCCCGTGTTTCTCTTTGCGCATGCGCGAGACGAAGAGCCGGGAGGTCGGGGGACGGTGTGTGTGCAGAGTCAACGCTCCTGTTTCGGGCGAACCGGTGAGTGCGCGCATGCGCAGCCAAAGAGGCGAACGGTTGCATTATGCGTTGACCTGTTCGCACGCGCAAGCGAAAGAGACGAGGTGAGATGGCACCGGTACGTGCGCATGCGCACGCACGTTGTTTCCTCGGTTGCCAAGTGACGAGAGCAGAGCGCGCTGTTGCTAGGATCCGGCAGACGCCGCAGCAGTTACGGCTGCGGTCTCGTTCCACTTCCTGCCGTTCCCTGTGAGGTGAACGGGACCCTGGCCAGCGACCCCCCCCTCCGGGCGCTCGGCGGGGTGGGCTGCCCGGACTATGGGACGGTTGGGTCCCTGAGGTGGAGGCGGCAGCTACCTTCAGCCGTGGAGGCAGCTGCGTCTTCGCCGGTATGTGTCACGTGGCTTCCCTCTTGCCGCTCCTTTCAGCTCGCTCGGGTGTCCGGGGGGTGCCTCTGCCTCTCCTGGGGCCCAGCTGCAGGCCGGGCTGAGGGGCGTGGCTAGCAGCGCGCGGGCGCCGCGGGCTAAAGAGGAGCGAGCGGGGAAGATGTGGGAAGGCCGGGGTACGCAGCACTGCCGAAAGCCAAGACATGGTGCCGTCTACACCGCCCCCAGGTCGGGCTTCGGAGCGCACCAACCTGCTGCTGCGCTGTAACTCTCCCGTGTGGACGCTGCCCGTGCGAACCCAGGACCTTTCAGCTGGTGCCCGCGGCAGACAGGGGATGATGGATCGCTGGGGGGAGAGGATACATGAATTATATTTCCGTCCCCCTTTTGTCTGCTACTGAACTGTTACGATGTTGGTGAAATAATAGAAGTAGGTAGACAATTCAGTAGGATTTTAGTGACTCTTTAAGATAACTTTAATCTATAATGTAGTTAGTTACATGGTCCTGGCAGTGATGGAGTTTTGAGCTTCTTGGGGAGCCCCATCTGAATTAGCTGAGCAGAGAAAAAAGTGAAAAGAAAGACAAGAAGTACTATAAAGAAATACAAATAAACATTACCATAAAATACCAAATGGGAAAAAAGAGAAACAGAAGCAAAACATCAATGATGATGAAACAACCTTGCAGGAGAGAGAGAAATATATAATAGTAAAACAACGAAGAGGCTGGAAATAGGCAAAAATAAGCAAGAATGTAAAGCAGTGGTTCTCAAAGTTTTGCACTGGTAACCCCTTTCACACAGCAAGCCTCTGAGTGCGACCCCCCCCTTATAAATTAAAAACAATTTTTTGTATACTTAACACCATTATAAATGCTGGAGGCAAAGCAGGGTTTGGGGTGGAGGCTGACAGCTTGCGCCCCCCCATGTAATAACCTCGCAACCCCCTGAGGGGTCCCGACCCCCAGTTTGAGAACCCCTGATGTAAAGGGTTTTGGGAAAAAATTGCAGAAAAATCATAAAAGGAAAATTTTCAGATAGTATCAGTATTTCCTGTAAAACCATGGAGGATGGGGACAGAGGATGCCCTGATATCCCCTCTGGCCCTCTGCTTATCAGAAAAAATTATTCTGAACAAAAATATGAATATAACAATATTTCACTATACTCATATTGGCTGGTTTAGTGCTGCCAAAATCTCTTCTAGCCACAGGAGCAAGACAATATTTGAAGCTGTTTTTTTGTAATGGATGTCATTGGTGTCGTGGATTCCATTATTTTAATGTTTTAAATGTTTATCTGTTTAATATATACAGCCTTAGAGATTTTTCATGTGAATGAGTGGAAGTGATAGTAAACAGTTGAGCCAATTTTCCTGAGAATCCCAAGCTGCCAAGTTAATACCTGGGCTTTACGGGAGGCTCAGAGATCAGGAACTTTGAAATAGACAAGTTTGCCATTTGATCACAGGGGACAGAGAGGTTACAAATTCCTTGATTTATCTGGTGTAGGAATAGGGGAAATGACTCTGTTTACATACCTGGTTTCAGACGCATCTCAATAATGCTGCTGTTCCTGAGAAATTCTGAAGGGAAGATAGCATCTTTCACTTACCTGCCTCGTGTTACTGCTTTAGGTGGAACCTAGCAGACCAATGGACTGGGATATTAACAGTTCAAAATTTAGTAAATTTAATGCATCCCCACAAGAAAATGTCTGCAGTTACTACACTCTGTATCCCCCTGCCAATTTTTGTGGTTTTACAAAAATCTTATTTTAGTTAAAAAATCTTTTTCTCCCCTGTTGCTCTGTTTTAGACCCAGATAGGGTGCCCAATCAGCAAATGTGAAAAATCAGGACAGGGGGTGGGGGATAATAGGAAGCTATATAAGAAAAAGATCCCAAAATTGGGACTGTCCCTATAAAATCCCTAGACCCAGATGAACAAAAAAAGGAAACTGACCAGACAAGAATAAGAATGAAACTAGCTACACAGCAATTAATGTCAATTGTGCAAAATGAAAATCTGAAAATCAATCTTTTTTTCTTTAGTCTGTTTCAGTTTTATTAATTTTATGTGCTATTCAGAACAATAGTAGACTAAATATTTTCAAAGAGAAGTATACATTTATAATTTGATGGTGTCCTCCTAAATCAGTGGTTCCCATACTTGGTTCACGGCTTATTCAGGGTAAGCCCCTGGCGGGCCGCAAGACGCTTTGTTTACCTGCGCCGCTTCCCACAGCTCCCATTGGCCAGGAATGACAAACCGTGGTCACTGGGAGCTGCGAGTGGCCGTACCTGCGGACGCTCAGGTAAACAAAGCGTCTCGCGGCCTGCCAGGGGCTTACCCTGAACAAGCGCGAACCAAGTTTGGGAACCACTGCTCTAAATGTTTTAAAAGGCTTTAAACTTAATGACTTTTACATGACATCAAAGTTTTTATTGCAAATAATAAAAAAAAAAATTAAACTAATATGTCCCTGATGTTTGCCCACCTTTTTTGTACAGTTTTAACTTTTGCCTTTCTTTATCTCATGATCCAGATTGACTCTTCATATAGTTTATGAAAACTAACATATCAGATAATTTAGTACTAACAAACCACATAAATAGCAATATAATCTTTCTGCCTAAGCTTAAGTAGAGTCAGATGAATGAATCTTTTAACTGACAAATTTAGGGCTAGGTTGTCCTCAGGTCTTATTTGGCTGTATGGGGGAAAGGGAAATGCAGATGTGGAATGGGAAGAGCACGGAGAGTAAGCTTCTTCATGAAAAGAGGAGAAATAAATTTCCCATCCACCCAAGCAAGGGGAAAGCAGGGAAAAATTTGACTATAGTCGCAATTTGTTTTTTCTGGAGAGGTACAGCTACACACTTCTCCTGACTCAGGGAAGATTGTAAAGCTGGAATCTAGCCCTTTGTTTTGAACAACTGAGGTAATGTATCACCACAAGCATGGAATTTAGTTATGTAGGAGCCTGTTGACATGTCTCAGTCCTATTGGGAGATGTTTTCCTAAGGATTGTGCAATATACTTTTAATTATGGATAAACCATGCAATTTTTTTAGACTGTTGTGATATATAATCAGACTTGTTTGAAGCAAGGCACTGAATGACATGATTATTTAAGATACCCACGGTATGGCTAGTTTTGGATTCAAAAGCACATGAAATAGTGTTATAAGATGGCATTATCTTTTACTACCTGTCTGGTATACATGGGCCAGCCTCAGCATTGCAGTCAAGAGAGCTGGAAATACACTGCAGTTAACAATGAATTTAAATCTCCAGGTGGTGCTTGAATTCACTGTAGAAGACGCAGAAATTAATTTTGCTAAAGCAAGAAACAACAGGACATTAAGCCACTATGTCAGCCTTAGATATATGCTTCAGAAATTTTGTACTGCTCACCACTATTCAGGTAATCTTTAACTCAAATTGTAGGAAATAGTTGAAATTCCATTGTAACAATATCCAACAGAGAATATTAAAGTAGCATTAAGTTTCAAATGCCTGAAGCAAAATGTTCTCTCACAACACCCTGGGCACTTGGAGCTCACTAGAACATACAGTATTACAGTCTAGTATTATAGTTTACTCAGACTAAAATGAAAGCCCAATTTTAATTCTATTTCCAAAAACTTGGTATACTGCAGGGAAAAATAATTTATTTGAATATTGTTTTTTAATACAGTGCAACTAAACTTAAAAGCTATATCATTTTGTATTACTACTCTAGACTTTTGTAATCTGGCTCTTTCATTAAAACCTCAGATATACCCCAGAAGGTTTATCTAGATGATTCCATTGCTAATTTAGAAGTTGTAAGGTCTTGAAGTCACCCCAGAAGTTTTTCACCATTCTGCACTATAGCTCATTTCATAAGAAGAAAACTAAATATAGAACTTTTAAAACAAAAAATATAAAAATATGTACAGACACTAGAGGAATATACATAATTGCAAAATGTGGTTTAAAGATTTATCAGCATGAGTCTGGGGTGGCTGAATTGGCAAAACCATTAGTGAGCAATGCAGGTTATCCCAAACAAGTGCCAGTAAAACCTTTACACTGTACCATTCTTTGATGCATTCTGCATAGGACATATTTTGCAACATAACTATTTTAGAAATTTTTGAGAATTTAAAAAAATGATTGGGAATTTTTTGTGTGGCCCTATATAAGTCTTCCTTAACAGAGTGAGTCCCGCTATACAGGGCTCCATGGGAGAAGAGAAATTCTAATAATTTTTTGGAAAACTCTAAAAATTACCAAGATATATCTTATATGTGAATATTTTAAGGTTCAATTTCTCTGTACCTGATAGGGCTGGAAGTAAGTGCTGTGTGTCCCATTAGAAAGCTACAAATCTACTATTTTACTTGATACAAAGCTGTTCCTGGCCCAGATTGATTGCGATAGAATCATAGAAATGTAGGACTAGAAGGGACTTTGATAAAGTCATCTAGTCCAGTCCCTGGCACTGAGGCAGGATAAAGTATTATATAGACCATCCCTGACAGATGTATGTCTAACCCAAGGATCCGCAATCTTTGGCCCGCGGCCCGCCAGGGGGCTTACGGGCTGGGCCAGTTTGTTTACCTGCTGCGTCCGCAGGTTCGGCCGATC